GCACGGGGTGTTGAGACACTAGCCAATTAGCTGCAAAATTTTAATTTCAAGAAATTTTGTGCAATCCATCTCAGTACAAAAGCTAACAGACCAAAGTATTGTTTAGTACTGCCTTTCCGTGCCATGGCAGTGATTGTACTTTTCTTCCCTTCATAGCGCTCTTACTGGTTTGTGGAATCACCTGAGAAAAAAACTGAAGTAAGTCAATTTTATGAGCAAATACAAAGCAAGTATTTTGAAGCTGAACCAACTGATTTGAGAGCAGGTATCCAGATCAAACATTTGTGCAAGGTACTGTTTCAAAGATCTTTTATTCTTGGTGAAACTGAAGCTTAGTTTACAGTTCATTGTAAATGCTTGTTACTGGAAATATCAAAATAAAAATTAGATGTTAATAACAGGTCATAGCCATCATGTTTACTTCCTTTGAGAAAGATAAAATATATATAGTATATAATCAAAAGTGTCATTTTCTCCTCCCTCTAGAATATAATTAGATTTTGTTTTTTCTTTAACATTTATTTTGTGTTCAGGGGTACATGTGAAGGTTTGTTATATCGAAAAACTCAGGTCATAATGGTTTGATGTCCAGATTATTTTGTCACCCAGGTGACACTAAGCCTAGTACCCAATAGTTATTTTTTCTGCTCCTCTCCCTTCTCCTAACCTGTACCCTCTGGGAGGTCCCAGTGCCTGTTGTTCCCCTCTTTGTGTCCATGTGTTCTCATCATTTAGCTCCCACTCTTAAGTGAGAACATGCGGTATTTGTTTTTCTGTTCCTGTGTTAGTTTGCTAAAGATGATGGCCTCCAGTTCCATTCATGTTCCTGCAAAGGAAATGATCTCGTTCTTTTCTGTGGCTGCATAGTATTCCATGGTGTGTATGTACCACGTTTTCTTTATTCAGTCTACCATGGATGGGCATTTAGGCTTATTGTATGTCTTTGCTATTGTGAATGGTGCTGCAGTGAATGTACACACGCATGTGTCTTTATGATGGAACAATTTCTGTTCCTTTGGGTATATACACAGTAATGGGATTGCTGGCTCGAATGGTAGTTCTGCTTTTAGCTCTTTGAGGAATTGCCACACTGCTTTCCACAATGGTTGAACTAATTTATACTCCCCTAACAGTGTATAAGCATTCCCTTTTCTCTGCAACCTCACCAGTATGTTACTTTTTGTTTTTTTTTTATTTTCTTATTTTTTTATTTTTTTATTTTTTTGAGACAGAGTCTTTGCTCTGTTACCCAAGCTGGAGTGCAGTGGCGCAATCTCGGCTCACTGCAAGCTCCACCTCCTGGGTTCACGCCATTCTCCTGCCTCAGCCTCCCGAGTAGCTGGGACTACAGGCACCTGTCACCACGCCCGGCCGTGTTAGCCAGGATGGTCTCAATCTCCTGACCTTGTGATCCGCCCGTCTCGGCCTCCCAAAGTGCTGGGATTACAGGCGTGAGCCACCGCGCCCGGCCGACTTTTTAATAATAGTTATTCTGACAGATATGAGTAGTTTTGATTTGCAGTAGTTTTGATTTGCATTTCTCTAATGATCAGCAGTATTGAGCTTTTTTTCATATGCTTCTTGGCCACGTGTATGTCTTCTTTTGAAAAGTCTCTGTTCATGTCCTTTGTCGACTTTTTAATGGGATTTTTTTTTACTTGTAAACTGTTTAAGTTCCTTATAGATGCTGGATATTAGACTTTGTCAGATGTATAGTTTGCAAACTTTTTCTCCTATTCTGTGGCTTGTCTGTTTACTGTGTTGATAGTTTCTTTTGCTGTGCAGAAGCTCCTTAGTTTAATTAGATCTCACTTGTCAATTTTTGCTTTGCTTGCAATTGCTTTTGGCATCTTCATGAAATCTCTGCCAGAGTTGATTTTTGTATATGGTGTAAGGAAAGGATCCTATAAACTACAACTTATATTTTAGTGTGGATAAAAGTGCTTAACAATTGAATGCAAAATAAGATAATGGTAGTACACAGTATATGCCATTAGGAAAATAAATAGAGTGATGATCTATTAATTGAGAGAAGGATGGACAGGAGGAACATTTCTGATAAGTTATGTTATGTTAATGATAAGTTATGTTAATGAAGCATCTCTGAAAATATGGCCATTGTGGATGCCACGACCCTCTCCAACAATATAACCTCAGTTGAACAGAGCCACGTCATCCCAAATTAGGCTCGTTTTCCTGGAATAGCCTACATCCAGTGACTGCTCAAGGTGGGGATATTAAGGGCTAGCTTTTTCCTCCAGCTCCAGTCAGCTCTGAATGGTCATCCAAGTTGCAGAACTCCTTGTGTGGTTGACCTTGTTGTCACTCTATGTACTGTAGCCCTACTATTTTTTCTCCCAAATTGGTATCCTTCCTTTCTTCACACAGGTGTTGGGCCCAAGAACACTCCTGCATGCTAATTTCTCTTATGTAAACTTCCTGGATGCCAATTTTCATCTTACCGTTTACTTCCCAGGGAACCAGTTAGTGATTGCTGATACCCAGAGTTGCCAGAGAAAGTAAATGATAAGATAAGTGGTAGACTCTGGTACAAGTTAGCAGTACAGTGTTCATATGTGGTGAATTGGGATGATATACCAGGGGAAATAAATGCATCAGTTAGTGACATCCATCAAGCATTTGAAAAATATGGGATTAGTAGTAGTTACATGGACTATAGAATTGGATAGGTATTGCTGGGGGAGAACGGATACATGGACATTGTTTACGATTAACCATCAGAGGCTAGGTGTTATAAAATCTAGTGAGCCTCCCAGGAAACATATAAAGAGATTCTCATCCGCAGTAGCCAAAGAAAAGGAAAAAACTGAGAACTAAGCTCCAAACTTAATCAAAAGAATAGGAGAGCTCTAGAAAAGCTTAAATTCCTAATCTGTGCGGGTTTGCTTTACCAGGACTTTGAGTCGATGCTATAAAGGATTGTGGAATTGGGAGCAGGTGAAGGTATTTTGCACATGGGAGGAACATGAATCACTGGAAGCGGAGGGTAGACTACAGTTGGCAGGCTTCACGATGGTCCCCAGCGATCCTCACCTCCTGATATTCACACCCTTGTCCAGTCCTCTCCTGTGTGATCTGTATAATACAATGGAAGTGAAAATAGCAGGTATTGTGAATTTTACTTTGGTCTTCAGTTGCTTGCCCTTAAGTAAGCCACCATGTCTTTCAAGCTGCCCTGTGAACTTGCTTCTGTGGACAAGAACCAAGGCTTTCCA